TACACTTGATTAAGAAACAGGAATAGAATACAAGCTAAGCCGCTTCCAAATGATTTAGATACTGTTTGAGAAACCTATTACTGCGAAAACTGGTTTCAAAATCTCTTTGAGGGATTATACACTGTGTACTGTTACACCATCCCTGAAAATGTTAACGCTTAACATAATATTAAAGTAAATAGAAAAACAAATGAAGGACGGGCTGGAGTAATGTGAGAGCAAGTAAACTGTTACTTTGTAATTTACACTGGAACATTATGAAACCCTAATATTCATCTCATCGCGGTAATATCTCCTACTTCCTAGACACATTACAAAATATTTTAATGGTCACGTTTAATAAATATGAAAGAAGATAAGAACGATCGAAAACTCCTGTAGACAATTAGCCAACTTTCAAAGCATAGACACAATATTCTTTTTACAAATATATTACTCCCTGCTACCAACGTATATTGCAACACAATTAGGTACAGCAGCGATGTACGGACGATATATCCCGACTAATTGCAGGAGTAGTGAAAAGTGCATGTGGCTAACAGGCAAAGTGCAGGCGGTGCAACGATGCAGCGGACCGGACAATAACGTGTCGCTCCCGTGACGTGCCGGCCGCGGCCCTGACACGCCGCACTCACGTGTGACCCGCCTAGCGGACACTGGGCATATGGACCCGCGTCGCATTGTACACGCATCACGATGTTGCGACTCAGTTTTTGCAATATAACAACTTTTAACGTGTTTTGCCTCCATGTAACTAAAGAAGAAGAGAGAACTGAGTAGCATTATGGGTCAAACCAAATTGAGGACTGAGGACAACAAGAATAGGAATTCTGTTCTATCTAATATTTTTCCAAAAACCGGTAATAGTTGATAATACTTTACTCGGGTGTTAAATCCATAACTGAACAATCGACTAACGAAGCTATCATCTAAAATCTAAATAATCAAAATATTTCTCAAACATAAAAAACTGTCATTTATAGTAATATCTCATCGAACTAGAACTCATAAGTATTTTTGTAGCTCAGAATTCTAAGTTCCCAGTTTAAGTACCACGTTCCTAAAGCACAATGTCCCGATTTACCTGTACGCAGCGATAGGGCCGCCCCTATTACACGGAAATCATAATGTAAAGGGAAAAGGGTGTACGCACTAAAGGTACACATTGAGGAAAATTCATGTCGAGATATTATTGAGGATATTTTAGTTAAAAGCAAAAAAGATCTACCAATAAATTGTAAGTATGTACTAGGTCTTATTGATCCTGTATTTGTGTAACGGAGAGGTAAGAATAACACTGCCTCCTGGTGGAGTAGTTGTAAGAGCAACTGTCGAAGAAGCGACGGAGACTGGAATTGTGGCCGGTATATGTCTTCTTTTTGTTTATCTGTGAGCGGAGAGTCATAAATTGCTTTGATTTCCTTATAGTCATCTAAGTCTTTCTCGTATTGTTTGGCAATGCGCTTAACCTCTGTTAGATGGCACTCATAGATTGAACTGTATGAAAACTGAGTTACATTGTGCCCGCATGCGTACTTGCGACGCGACTGTAGTCTGTACCTAACTAAGCCAACATCTCCATTACAAAAGTGTAATCTCTAATGCGTAGATGTAGGTGTAATCTAGTACATTAGTGACTTAGTGCCAAAGTTCCCGCCTGCCACTAGTCTAAGTACGTGTATAATGTTGTAATTAAGTCGCTCACACGGAGGGTCCGACGGCACAGCCGTGCGAAGCAATTTAACTTGTATTGCGTCGGGCTAAGTCTGATTGTCCATAGAGATCGGGAGTTCATACCCTTGTGGTACTTTGACGGAGTGTTACAACAATGTTAAATTGTTGTTTAATGTAATTGAATGTAAGTTTAATTATTAATCTTTTGCATCAAACATAAAATAATTTGCGAACAGTCGAGATTTGAAATTCGTACAAAATATTTTTTTTGCAGTTACCTGTCTAATCGATTTGTTACAATAAGTCCGCAATTAGTAGTATTTTACTCAATTAAACTTATAATCTACCAACAGCTTAAAAGCTCCTTCTCCAAATCAATAATAAAGTCACCGAAATGTTGAACTTACAAATAAAATTGTACAACGTTGTTTAATAAGTCAACTGGTAGCTGAACCAATTAATAAATCACTCTACTTAGGATTAACTTGTTAATTTGTGAGATTGATTAACTGAGAACTCTGAAGTAGTCAGTACCTACCACTGGTACAACTGAAGGCGAACTCAACTTCTTTAAATAATTGTTAAAGTCGCGAAACTCTTCAACACGAAACTACTTTCAAGTACTTGAAAGGTAAGTTATTTAGTTTAAATATTAGAATATACTGTTAGATTCATGGCAGTGGGTACAGGAGACCCGGCGTCCCGCGCGCGCACCGTTATATCGCCGAGAATAAGAAGTCGGGTTATGAATATGTAACAGCCTCATTACGAATGAATGCCTGTAAAGTTCGGCATGCCCTCACAGGCTCACAATCAAAACACCGCCAGGTAATACTGATTACGGATTCACGAATCTACAAAATCCTATTTTCTTTTGATCTCAACGCAAAAACTTTTGACTTACTTATGTCCGTTGTCCACGACAACAATCCTACGCCCAGTTCTACTTCGCAACATTTTTCAGAGATATTGGATATTATGTTACTTTTTCTTCTATCTATGTAAGTATTTATTCACCGAAAGCTTACTATTAAAGTCTTAAAACAAGTAATTAGTCTGCTCTCAATATAAAGTCGATTACAGTTTACAGTCAATGAATGCTGACACAGTAGTGTTGGTAGCAGGGAGGGTGCCGTGACAGCCAATATTTAGCAATAAAGTCATAATAGAGTATTAAAGGCAAGTTTTATTGCTGAACGTCTTTAAGTAGGTTCGTTGTGGCAACCGTGTTTTACGAGGGAAGGCATTAGTCAACTGTCTATCGGACGATCGGCGTTTTATTTATGGATCGTAACATCGATTGATCGGAGAGGAGGTGTGCTCGCCTTCCAACAATTATTCATAATTGAATCAAGCAACAAGAGCTGCCAACCCGTAAAAGTTAAATGTATGCCTCATGTCGTCAAAATCAATAATAAAATATTCCTTCGATAAACCTTATCCTTCGCAAAACAAATTAGATAATATCTGAGAAATATGTAAGCAGCCACACAGTTCCTATTATAAAATAGACGTCAGTTCCCTTCCTTCTCAACTATGTAAGTAGTTGCGGCCGACGGGTCTCTATAGAAGTACAGTATATTAGGGAGCGATTGCCATCTGCCCTCGGCTACACAACAGGAATGATACGGCCTGGTTACACCCGTTGTCAAACTTTTGGGTTCCTGACATAAATCTCCGGAGCCGACGCCGACGGCTTTACGCGCCACATTTCCGAGCCACGAGAAAAAATACCGTGAATTTTCAAACTTCAATCCAATATCGATATAAGTTGTTAAGAAAAATCTTCTAACAACTTTTCTAAGACTCGGGAATCGAAAAAGGGACTTTGAAAATTGTCAACCTCAGATGCAGCGGGGGACGGGACTACTCGATTTAATAATAAAATAGTCCTTTGTTGAACTTCTTTTTGTCGCAAAAATTACTTAAAAGAGCTACAAAGCCTAGAGCAGGCTTTATTCTATTTGTACGGCTTTCTACTCCTTGATAAAATTGTGCCGATACAAGGCCCAATCTATAACATTCCATCCATCATGCAGTATCAAAAGCTTTGTCATCTCCATTTGTTTAGAACAATCCTTTAATACTCCATCGGAATGAGATGAGATGGAACGCCTTGTTTTTTCTAAAAACTGTCGGTAATTTTTTCTTTCAATTTCAAGACGCTACGGCCGAAATAACGGTTTATTAAAACTTCTTTGAGCTTCCAGAACCACTCGAAATAGAAATGAAACTATTTCCATCTTCGTTTTTATGTACATTTCAATAACCCTTGAAAACAATGAAGTATCCTTCAACATGTAAAACCCCTCTAAATTGAAACTGTTGAATTTCCCATTTTCTTTACGTCTCCACAAACGGCCCGACAGTATCAAGTAGAGAGTTTGCTTCCGAAGTAAGTACAGGCCGCGGCCCATTAAACGACAAATTAATAAAATAAACGAGTTTCGTGAAGTTGAACGCAAAATCTCGGCAACAGAATAGAATCATAAAGTAATATTCGGTGAAATTAATCAATTTGCTGCGTCAATGTAATTGTGTGCTCGGCGAGGTCTCGGCGGCGGTAAGTCGGCGAGCCGCGACCGCCCGGCAGCTCGTTGAGTGGTCTCTGGCTGGCAATCAGCGGCCGGTCATTAGTTAACTTTGCCCGTTTCTGTGATTCGACACACAAACCGACGCTCGTGCCACTCGAATTAACAATAACTCATTTTCCTAATACAATTCAGTCTCAGATCATTTTTATCTGAATTTTCTTCTTCTTTGGGTCCTCAAACAATAGTTTTACGGTCTACAAAATATTTTGTGCAATTTTGAAGCTTCAATTCAGGTTTAAAAACTTGCTGAATATTGTTTATGTCCTTTTTCTAAAGTTTTCGTCGTAGAATCTTGTTTTGAGGAGGGCCGGGTGTCATTTTTACAATTTCAGGCATTTGACATATTGTTGTTACTTACATAGAGTAAAAAAATAATTTTAATTGAAATTAAGCCAAAGTAAAACATAAATCGAAGTACTGAATTTATTGGGAAAACTTCTTCATAAGTTTTCGTTTTAAGTTTGACCAAAGCAGTGATATTCAATTTTAAAACTGCAACTAAATCCGAATCAGCTTTTGCGGCTATTTTCAATTCAAAGAATCATCACATAAAGTAGATAGCCTCAAACTAAACCGCAGAATCTTAAATTCAAATTCCCGTTCCCTACGCCTAAACATTAAAATCACAACCGAGTCCGACGGTACCCTAACATCACTCCAACCCGCCCGAATAAATAAAAAAAATAATAAATGAAATAAAAAAAAATGAAACAAAAAATTCTGGATACATACCTTAAAATTACGAAGAAAACTACGAGCTAGAGTATCGCGCGAAGAGTGGAGAGATTCGCGTCACGGCAGACCGGAGGCATACACGTCTGGCCAGCGCGACGGCGAGCGCGCGATAACCGAACCAGCGAGCGACGCGGCGGGGCGCGGCGGCTGCTATCTGTTGCTTCGCGCGTGCGCAGGGCGCACGCCTCGCGCGGGATCCGCCGCACACCTGCCCACAACATACAGCGTTATTGTCTTAGTGTGGACCTGGACCCCGCCCATTTGGTAGACATGAAACAGCAACATGGCCGCGCGTGCCAGCGCCGCCGCGTCCAAGCGAGCTAACACGCTCCGCTCGGCTGCTGCCTACACTGGCAACACAGATGCAACTGCACACCGGCTGCGCGTGTGTGTGTCACTACCCACTATCATACTAATTATTATGACGAACTACAACCAATCATATATTTTTAATTTGAACTTCAAAAATCGTTTATTAATGTTAAATACACATTAAATACAGCAACGTATGTAACATTTGCCTCCATAAGCTAGGGTGGTAGAAAATTTTACAAAACCGGAAGTTGGCGCCTTTCACAGCCACCTAGCCGACGGCGATCGTTCGGGCCTTATGCTCGGGCAGACACACTTTACGATGACAAACAAACTTTTTCAAAAAATGACGAAGTGTGTTTAGAATATCGTTCTCACGTGGAAAATTGGGAAAATAATTTGTAGGGATTTGGGGAAACAAACGAAAATGCTTCCATGGCTAGGGTATACTACAAAAATGGCTCTGTTTTTACAAAATGATGTTATCGAACGTGAACTACATGTGTAAGTGAAGTTTAATTTTTCACCTTAGTACATAATTTTGAAACGACATTACGGCCCACACTAACTGCATGCAAAGTTTGGATCCGGCGGCCGACGGCACGCGCGGACCTGCGACACTCGCACACGGTGGCTAGTGTCGAAATAAAAACAATTGTTTGAGACGAATTGTTCGTCCGATCAACGCACCGAGTCACATACTCGTATTACTACGAGGTTTCAATAAGTTTCAGCGACACTACAGCCACTTTGTTACGGTAGAATATGTAATCACTATAATAAGACCGTTCTGTGACCTCGCCGATATAAGCATACATAAATCATGTTCATAGTTTGTATGTATAGAAACTACGAAGGAACGAAATAGGATTTTATGGCATTTTGATGGGTACTTGCAGCGTGTCAAGTAACAATGGTCCACCATAAAACGTATATGGTCACTAATCATTTGATGATGGCCGGCTAACAGACGGTGTTAACACTAGAAATAGCGTGACAGGACATAACGAACTCAGGGACCATGATTGATTGATCAATCAACTATAACACGGTGCACTTTGTTATTAAACTGATAAAATAACATTATGCACGTAATTAAATAACAAACATCCGCCAATACGTCTATGTGATATGTGGGCAAACGAAGTTCATCTGATGGTAAGCAATCGACGCTATCCATGGACACTCGCCACGCCAAAGAAGCTAAAAGTGCGTTTCCGACTTTTGGGAACAGGAGAAATATATCTCACACACACACACCCAGTACAGTAGTTGCTTCACTCACACGGTGAAACGTGAGACAAGCGTTGTTTCACGCCGGTTTCCTATTAAGAACAAATCGAATTGTATTCAATATGTATCGACGATTTATCCGTATGAAGGGATTGATTAGTTACTATGGTCCTCGTATTCGCTACGTTCGTTCCGGTTTCCTGTACCTTCGGGTCGTCGGGGCTTCGGGTCACTCGTGCAGAGATGAGGTGGACGTGACGTCACTCAGGTCAACTCCCTTAAAGTAGTGACAGCTCCTTAATTGAAAAGTACAGTTTGCAAATCCATTGCTAATAATGTCGCCAGGTAACTGAAGGAAGCGGGAGAATAGTTCCAAGGGAATGTTAGATTTGTGGTGCATTGAGAAATATAGATTACTTGAATGTTTGAAGACGTCTCCAGAGACAGATAAACTGAAACGGATTCGTCTTTTTGTGGAGAGTTTAAGAGTTACCAAGTACATTAACCGACTTAAATTGGTGAGAAAGGGGTGGAACAATAGAATAATATAGAGCTCGCTTAATGTTTTCCTTCAGTAGATCCAAATTAACTCCGTCACTGTCTATCAAATTGTAAACCAATTCGACGCAAAACTGTTTACGTGTGTAAATTATGCATAACTTCCCGACTTCGGCGGCTGAATAAGCCAGCATTTGAAACTTTAATGACGTCACTAATGATCTCTAGTGGCAACATTAAAGTTTCAGTTACTGGCAACCCTGCTTACAACTTGGTTTGGTAAAAAAGTTTTGGGAAATTGTGTTAAGTAGTGGCATAATGTCAACGTCCTCGCCATGTACCTACTACCTTGTTATAAGACCGTTGTGTTTTTTATAGTGCCGGTGTATCATGTTGTAGCCAATAAGGAGACACTATCCATGAAACTGCGATTTCCAACAGTAACAAGTTATTGTGATCTCAAATGAATTCATTATATATTCAAATTTATTTGCTGCTACAAAGAAACAACCAGCATTTATTACAAAACAAATTGTGGTGTTATTTTCGTTTAAATTGTAACACAGAATATATTCATGTGGGAATCGTAAGTGACAATAAAAGCGCGCTGTGTTTGTTGTGTACACAATGGCCGATAATGGTCGCACTTCAGGTTCTGCTCACTACCAACACACGACACACAAACTCACACATTTTGATCACTTCATGAATGTACAGACAGGACAACAACCAGTAGTGTCCTACAACCAACATCCCAATGTGTGAGTAGTTGCAGAAAGTACAATTTTTATAAATAAGTATTAGGTATATTACTGTAACAAACAAGGTGTTGTAAAACCTTAAGTTTATAGAAAAAGTTTAATAAAATTTAGAGATTTAATATAAGCAGTCGAGGTAGGAGTTAATCCCTGAGTAATTTAAAGTTTTCGCTCTATTTTAATATACTCGCAGCAGAGAGTCGCGGATTATGGAGGTGCATCAACACTTTGTTGTTCATTTTACACGAAATACGAAGATAATCCAATATAATGGAGACCGAGACGATTGATATCGCACAGTTGCCGCGAGCGGCGGACCGCGAGCTATGGCTTCAAATAATAATAATAATAAAATAATAATAATAAATCTTTATTCATTATGAGAAATTGGTCATAGTACAGATAAACATCTTAATTTAAAATCAGAGATCTCACTAGGTTTGAATGCCTGTACTAGGAAGAATATCCTGTATCACAGGCGAAAGGAGCACTCACAATATTACTAATTCTAGGACAAGTTATTTATATAAACAAATTCCTTAACATAAGTAATCGATCAAAATTAAAGTAAAGTTGATTATTTAATATACATACATACATACACACGTACATAACTACATATCATGATAGGTAACTAAATATTAATATTATCGTAAAAGTACATTTATTAAACAAGTAATTATATTAGCTTAATTGCAAAACATAGATAGAGATACATATATATTTATATAAAACATTGTAGGAACTATAGTACTGAAGAATTTGATACATCAACAGAAACATAATCTAGTTTACAGTCCAAACGGTCATTCACTCGATGTCACAATAAAATATGCTTGAACAGCAACAAATTGTTAATTAATGTGCAAGGAAAGGCTAATCAACTCTATAATCTGAGAATATGACACTTTACGCGTCCTCATAATCGATAGAGTTGATATACCTATATTCAGCTATTTTCCTAGCCGGACAGTCAGTGTCTCCGGTTTTATGTTTATTGGGCTTATTGTAACGAGAGCATGTAGCACATTTAGGGGATTCCAACTTTTTAGTGCACGAGGATTGTACATGTCCTGCTTCTCCGCAGTGGCCACACGATGAGTTGATCTCTCTGCATGATTTTGCTGCGTGTCCATATAGTTGGCAATTGTAGCATCGCGTTACAAGCGTAAAGTCTCTAACGGGGCAGGAAGTCCAATTGATATAAATTCTCTCTTGAGATATAAGGGCTTTACGTATCTTGCCTGGAACTTCGATGATGAAATTGCAGGTCGGCGCATCCTTTCTTCCCGATTTGTGACTTAGCTTGACTGATGTTAAAAAACACTCCATTGTCATCTCCGGGAGCTTGTCAGATACGTTCTGGTCATAAATATACCTGAAGACGTCAGCATCTGTCATTGTCGACGGCACTCCTATTACTGCGATTCGTGGTTTGCGCTTCTTTGGTTCGTCTGCGAGAAGACCGGATAACGACAGGCCAACTGCTTGCTTCACTTTTTCAGCATCCTGTTTCGACTCAGTGCTGATTATTACACCTCCGTTTTGTGTCTTGCGGACTCCACGCACGCGCAGCTTCATCTCACTAGGACTTATAATTGTTTGCACCATAGTTTTAGTTTCCTCGCTAGTTTTCAATTTATTGGCTGGATACACAGCGACAGAGGCCAGATTGTTTGGTCGAACGAAATCGGATCCTTTTCTCACCATGTCCGCAAAAGACACAGTCTTGGCTGTAGTTGAGTCCTTGAGAGATTTTTTAATCTCGTCAATTTGTTCCGATAGGTCACAGTTTTCTCTCAATTCATCCATTATGTTGACGGCTAGGCGAGCTTGCTGCTTCAGTGCTTGATAAAGGACAGCCATTTGTGAGACATCAGCTCCAATTTTACGGCTCAGGTTTGATATTCTAAGCTTTTGCTCCGAATTGAGTTTGCCTTCCGTTGCAATGACACATACTTCATTTAACTGCTGTTCAATGCTTGCCATCCAGTTCTGAATGTCGGGCGTGGACACAGCTTCTATTGAGAAGTCAGATTTACGACTGCTTTCTATTGGTGAGGCACAGGAAGCCAGGTTGCTCGGGATTTTATCCATTTTTATTAAATATGATTATGTTTCCATTATAAAATACTAAATTTCAAACTAAGCAAAAATTATTTAGTAGGTCACTCTTGCGTTAATTCAACAGTATGTATAATGCACACGTCTGTTCACATCGAACGTCAAAACGTTATGATAAATGAAATATTATGATAAATGAAATTATTATTCCTGCTCTTTATTCAAACTGAAGCGATCGCGATTTAAATAGACTACATTTGTAACGTTAGTCTATCAGAAAACCAATTAAGTAAGTTGCTCCTCGGTGGGAGACATGATCAAAACACTCGCAACACACTGTCAA